TTTTTTTTTTTTTTCTTCTTTTATTGTATGTACCATATAAAACACTAGCCTCGTGGATATGCTTGTAAAAGAGTATTTTGGAGCAACAACTTCTAGGCGATATAGCGTCGTTGTGCATACTTTCCATGACATTGTTCAATAACTATCTTGCTATGCTTGAAAGATTTTCGAGAAAATTGGAGATTTTGAAGATGGAATTTTCTTTAGAAATTAGGGTTAGGGCAGGGTTGAGAGAATTTGGGGATCGATTATATGGGTTGATCGATTTTTAGGTTTTAATTGAGAAAAATAACTTGAAAGGACAGTTATGCTCCCAATAGCCATGTCATCATTGCCACGTGTCGAACAAATAGGAACTCCGATGGCCAGAAATGAAAGTGCACCAATAGCCATGTCGCCATTGCCACGTGTCGGATTAATAGGAACTCTGGTTGCTGAAAATGAGAAAGTGCACAAAGAGGCATAATTCAAAAAAAAAAAAAAAAAAAAAAATTGTAGACAAAATGTAAAAAGACAAATAGTTAAATACACAATGTAATTTTTCCTAATTATTATTATTCGAAACTAGAAGGGTAAGGTCTGCGTACATGTCAAGGGTGTTGATGCCCAGAGACGCCGGACCTCGACTACGTAGTTCGTAGTCTCGATCCGTGGTGACTCGGCAGGCTTATCCCCACGCCGCTGTTCTTCGTCGGAAGGGTTATGCCCCCTAGCCGCCGGCTTATGAGATAGAGAAGAGAGATTAGATAGGTTTAATCTTGCTTAATTTATCAATGTGCGGTTTACAGCATATAAGGCCATTGGCCGCCAACTAATCACTCCTTAATTCTAGGAACAGAAATAGCAACTAAATATAGATAATTGACTAATTATTCTACTTCCTAACTTAGCCACTCTAATTATTCTATTTCCTAACTTAGCCACTTTCGGTGGCCTGGGCAGCCTGGGCGCGTTCCGCTGCGCGGCGCAGGTCCCTGGCACAGCGGCGCCTAGTATACTGGCGCCCCCACATGACAGTACAACTCACCCCACAGATCCCAACCAATTGGGAATATACTTGGTATGTAGTTGTTGTTGATTATTCTTCGAAAATACTTCACTATAAATACAAGCAGTTGGATCATATAGTACAAAAATTAGATAAGACATTTTACCCAATTTATACTTGTATGATCTTTTTAAATTGTACTGTTTACATTTGTTTTTTCAGTAATGCAACAATTTACAAGCCCAGGCCATTTGTCACTCAAATTTGTTTCTTTTTCATTTATGCAAATAGGTGAGATAAATGTTCCGTATAAATACAATGAATAATAATCTCATTCATAAAGTCCACTTTTTTAGTGTAAAACTTGATTTTTGCAGTGCATTTGTACTGCCCTAAAGGGGAAAAAATGCATTACAAGTTAAAATGAAGAGAATTTGGAGTGAAAGACAATTTTGGGGACCAACTCTTATCAGACATTATAAGCTCATGTTAAAAAAGCTTAGTCAAACTCAGCTGAACATATTGGGAAGTGGCCTGACCGCCATGAATGCATCGACCATCTGCACCCAACACGAAAACAGATGATCATATTTCTATCCAACAAACAATTAACACACAGCTTCAGATGTTAAATTATCAAAAGACACTTAAGGAGGAATTATATAGTTTTTACCTCATCTGTCACAGCAGCTCGTGCCCTGCGATGTCTTTCGACCAGTTCGGTCAAAACTTCAATAAGCCGTTTTTTCACTTCACCTGTTAGCATACGCCCTGCACCGTATTCCTGTACAACGACGAAACACGTGTTACTGAGGGTAGCTACAAAATCTGCCCCCACAAAATCCCACTTATCTTCTGGAACTATACATAATCCCTTGAGGAATGTATTTCCCATACATATACATAACCCCATCCAAATAATTTGAAATTTTTAAAAAGAAAAGGGAGCTTCTTTGAAATAAAGCTAGGCCTTAAGTACTTGTCTACAAACCGGTTTGTCATCTGACAAATAAAATGACAGAGATAAGTCCTTACTGTTCTGATGTGCTCAAGTTCACTATCGTCCTCCAAGAAAAAGCTGAGATACTTAATCGGAATATCTACCTGAACAACATCGAATCGACTTGAATTAGAAAGAGAGGAGGAGATGATTAGTCTTCAAAATAGGAATGACTATAACTAGCGAGAACGTATTTGTGATACCTCAAGGTTTGCTCCGTACTTCCTGTGGTTCTCTATTGAATCTTGCCCACCAGAGAATGCATATCTGTTTATCTGTAACAAAAAGGAAGCAAGGTAATGATTTTCGACGACTGTCAATATAGGAAGAGTTTTCACAAAATTGTTTATAAATAGGAACCTTGTTTTTAATGTCCTTGGCAGAGTCAGTGACATATATAGCAGAATTTGGATCACTGGCCGACATTTTTCCAGTCTCTCCCTGCAGACAAGATCACCATTCAAGTACACATTACACACTATTTATTCATTTCAACTCACAGGTCAATAACTCTCACGATGAATAGACGGTCTATTTACAATAAATATCATCAAAAGAGTTAAAGAGTGTGGATAATCATATTTTCCATCGCATTTTCACTTAAAAAACTTTTCAATTGGAAAATGCTAAAGGAAAATAAATGAACGAGAACAATGAACATACAGAATTTTGAGGCCAGTGACCGCCAACAATCCACAGAAACAAATAAAATCAGATAAAATAAAATATAAAAATAAACAAACTAATAAAATGACCCCATGCTATTGTATTACGTGTTAATGGGATATCAGAAAGAAACCTGAAGAGCTGGAAAGAAGGACGACTCAATCAAAGCAGGCTTGTGATAGCCAATTCGAGGAGCAACATCCCGTGTCATTCTGAAGTAAGGATCCTTTAGACAATAGAGGAAACACAGATTAATTACAGCAATTACGAATGTATTTGAGATTTGACGTTTTACAAGCCAAGAGTAGCTAAATTCTATACCAGGTGCAGTATAAGCATTTATATCGTGGTAGTTATATTTCTAGCTAAAGTAACTACATTGTTGGATTATACTGATCAAACTCCATACACAAATTTATATAAAAGGAGAAGCAAAATTATTCGCAACATAGACAATGAAGGCAGAACATTGACAATATACCGTAATTACCATAGTTAACTTATATAAGTTGTACATACAAATGACAATAAGCAGATAAACACATCACACTTTGAAAATCAAGACTTATGTAATTCTCATACATTTAGACAACACTGATTCATATTGTATTATAGTGTAATATGGATTTAAATACCAACTTTATTTGGCAACTAATTAAAAGGAAAAATACATTCTGAATTAGTGAAGTTTGTACCATCTGAACAGCAACAACAAAATACCTGGTCAATTGCGCATGGAATCAAGCAACGGATTTTATCTTTACCAGCGAACAGATGTGGAAAAGAACTTGGGAAAGACGGAGCTGCCTGACAACAATGAAATTTAATAAATGGTCAAGAAAAAAGAGAAAACAGAATGTGAAACCAAGAGAAATTATTCTATATCATGAACTGGCTTAAAATCAACAAAAGAGTTGAAAAACTCTCAGTTTTTCTTACATTTTCTAGAATTCTGTGATCAGAATTACTACCAAGAAACATGGTGGGAAAGTTCAGCCATTAAAGCATTGATGTCTGATGATAATTAAAAAGCCAGGCTATTGAAAATAATTTAACAATGTCTTAACACTTTAATCCAATCAATGGTGTTTAATGGTCAAAGACATCCTAAAACAAAATTTTCACTCTCCCACCAGATGACTATCGTAATTAGAGATGTAGAATAACAGAATTAAAGAAATTTCAGAGGTGAAAACAAAGTGAAATTTAGGGATCGATATGAACGTAAGATTGGACGAAATGAGACCTTGTTTTATCTAAAACAATATTTATAAACAAAACAAAAATGGTAAATCATGATTTAATAAAAATCAAGGGGATCACGATTGATGAACTATAAGTGCTACCTCGACAGTTCACTAATGATAATCGCAGTCTCACACAGTGCACCAGAATTTATAGCAAATATTCATGCAAAACAGAAACAAATTTATATCCCTTAAATCAAGTAAACACACATCAAAAGCAAGTTGATGACTTAAAATGCCAATCAATAACGACAGGGGTTACAATGATTGGCTGTGCCATATTTCAACTTGATAAGCCAAGCATCTTGCAGTGCAGATATTATATTGTAAAATAGTACGACTCACCTTGTAAATATAGAGGTTCATACCTGAACAGGCGGAAAGCTCACTTTTCCAATGTGATCTTCACCAGTGAACCCAAATATACCAACTACCTGCAAACCCAATTTAGCATCATATTTTGACTTGAACCTGATATCTCTAAAGTGCCTATACAGAATAAGCATGAAATTACTAGTCACCTTGTTGTAAGTCACACATTTTGCAATCTTGACCATGTTCTTGTAGAAGGCACTGCAGAATAAATTCAAGCACTGTAAGCATATTTGCATATTAGGAAAAATGGAAATACTAGATGCAAAGGGACATATTGATAAGAAATCCTACAAAAGTTCCATATTATATTAGATAAAAGGTATACACCTTATGTCTTGAGTTATCAAAATTTGTTAATGCACTTATCTAAATAACTCTTTTCAGATGCTTAAAATATAATATGAGGGAGTTTGAAGCAATCAAGATCACACACGTAGATAAACTAGCCACAGCCTCCTTTAGTTCTCCTGTATTCCAAACTTCTAAGTTCTAACCAGCAATTCCAACACAGTAACACTCAATTACTTGCTCTCGATATTTATATTTATCAAATAGCCTTACAGTCCAACAGCTAGAGTCCTACCTAATTGTACAGATACTTAAGATTAACCTATAAAAGATAATTAAGTTGTTATTGAATCATAACATATCACAGCACTATCCATCAGCACAAACAATTAACAAGTTATAACCAACGTACAGAACAAGGAAAAATCATAAGAAAAAAAGTATTATCAGAAGACTTATCGTTTTCCCGAATGTACCTAAAAAAATAAAACTTCCACAAATAAAAAAGAAAAATCAAATGGGGTATATTATCACCTACCCTCCAACATAATCAAAATCAGAAAATATAAACGTCCTTGAAACATCAAAACCACAAGCAATTATATCTTTAGCATTTTCACGGGCAAGCCTCTGGCTTTCCTCCACGGTTAAATTCTTCCACATACATTTCTCATCATCTGTTAGTTGTATCACAAGCGGGACCTTAAATGCATCCTGCAGATACCTAAAGCCAGTAAAAAAAAAAATCACTATTCTGAAAATAACAAAAAGAACCAAAAGAATAAAGATGGAATATTTGAAAATTACTTTGTGAACATGAAGGGCACAAGATGGCCCAAATGCAGTGCCTCCGATGAGGGGCCACGGCCCGTGTAGAGATAAAACTTCTCCCCTCTTTCGTAAGCATCGAGGACGTCACTCAAATCCCGATGGGCGAAGAAGACGCCGCGGCGGAGGAATACGTGAGGAGGTCGGCGCGTGAGGCGGGCGACGCGATCAACGAGCGTCTGGTCGATCCTCTGGCAGCCGAACTTGTCGATAAGCTTGTCGTAGTCGATTTTGCCGCCCTTTTCGGCGGTTACTTCCCATGGAGTCACGATTTGATCCTCTTCCTCATGGGTTTTTCCCTCCATGGCTGGAACTGGTGAATGTAGATTGAAAGAGAGGAGAGAGAGGACTGTAGAGGCTGAGAGCTGCTGAGGAGCTGCGCAGGGTTTTAGGGCAGGATTTGGTTCACTTTTATTTTATTTTATTTTTTTTTTCAAGAACCATTCATGTCATTTTAGTTGCCGTTTCGGTTCCTTTAGTATAAATTTCGGTTTCAATAGTGTAATAATTTTTTTGTCAAATACCGGTTAGGAACCCAATTGATTGGGTATAGATTAAACTATTTATGATATTAAAGTGAGTTATTTTTAAATAAATTTAAAGTTAAATAATATTTAATGTGATGATTAAAATGGGTATGATGTGAAATAGACCTAGTCAAGAAAAATATGTGCTCCAATGCAAGTGAAAGTAGACCGGGTCCTGCTTATGTGGCAGCAAGAAAAAGAGACTCGGTCTAGCCTTAAGTCTATTTTAGACTCAAGTAGAGACCTAGTCTCTTTGCATTAGAGTTAAATTTGTTACTTTTTTTATAATTTTGTCCATACCATTCAAGACTTAAGTCTATTTAATTGCCACATAAGTACAATTAGACCTAAAGCATTGTAGATGCTCTAATGCTTTGGGTCTTGCTGACGTGGCAGCATAAAAAAATAGATTTAGTCTACCCTTAAGTCTAATTTAGACTCAAGCAGAGACCTAGTCTCTTTGCATTAATTTTGTTACTTTTATATGTTTTTATCCATGTCACCCAAGACTTAAGTTCATTTACTTGCCACATAATCAAAATTAGACCCAAAGCATTGCAGATGGTCTAAGAGCATCCACAATGCTTTGAGTTCAATCACAAAAAATTGTATGCCACATAAGAAATAGTCTTAGTCTAAAAAAATGTATTCTCCAATGCAAACAAAAGTAGACAGGGTCTTGCTGATGTGACAAACATAAAAAGAGACCCGGTCTACCCAAATAGAGACTTAGTCTTTTTGCATTGGAGTGAATGTTATTAATTTTACATATTTTTATCTATGTCATCCAAGACTTGGGTTTAGTTACATGTCACATAGGCAAGACTAAACCCAATGCATTATAGATGCTAGAGATTATAAGATGTGATAGCAGTTAAAATTATGTACGTGAATGAATAGTGAACTATTTTTGCTAGGAGCAATCCGATGACTCGGCTCATGGAGTCACCATAGTTATTCACAAATGATGTATTTACACGTGTCCTACAATAAATGCACATTAGACATATGTTAGCACATAAAGTTATGGATGATAAAGGTGTCATCCGGTGACTAGTGTTGTTAAATTAAACGAGTCTGGCTCGGCTCGGCTCGAGCTCGGCTTGAGTTCGAAGCCTTAACGTGCCGAGCTCGAGCTCATTTAAAGCTCATTTGGTTAACGAGCCGAGCTCGGCTCGGCTCGATAAGGCTCGAAAAGTGAAATTTATGTAATTTTTTATGGTTCGGCTTGTTAAAGCTCGAGATCGGCTCGTTAAGGCTCGAGCTCGAGGCCTTAACGAGCCGAGCTCGAGCTTGATTTTTGGCTCGTTTACTTAACGAGCCGAGCTCGGCTCGGCTCGTTAAGAGCTCGAGTTCGAGCTCAAACACCTAAACCTCGAGCTCGGCTCGAGCTCGGTTCGACTCGTTTACAGCCCTACCGGTGACTCCATAGAATTTTATGAATTTAAAATTGATGTGATGTGTCATAATGATTCATTGATATTAGTTAATTATATTTATGAAAATTAGGAGAAATAGATGATCTCTTGGCTGTTAAAAGAATTACCAGGACAAATTTTTGAGTTGTGGCCTTGCGGTGTGTGAAGAGACGAACGACGTTGCCATTTCGAGCAACAACGGTTTGCTTAGGTCATCGAAAGGCGACGACAAGTAGTGGTAAATCTGTCGAGCACCTCATAGACGAGCAAATGTAGCTGCGTAGTTGATGAGGGTCTCATATCGGATGCACGGTTCTTGGACGGGAGAAAGCTGATGTGGCAGCTTTCCGTCGGCGGAGGTTAAATCCGTGGATCTGTTTGCCAAGAAACCTTCGGCGATGAATTAAATTTCCAAGGTCTAAATGATGATTCGGATCTGTTCGTTGAATTACACTTATGTGTGTTGTAGTCGTTAAAAAAATTTGTCACATCAGCTTTTCGTCGATGGATATTAAATTTGTGTATCGGGTTTCCAAGAAACCTATGATGATGAATTAAATTACTAAAGTCTAAAGGTGGTGATTAAATTATTAATCGACTAAAAGTGGTGCATTTTTCTCCCAATTGGCCAAAAAATACTATAATTGATACAATCACTTTAATTGATACGACTCCCCAAATAAGACATTTAATTAATTAATTAATAATTTTTAAAAACTAGAAACTTAAGTACAACCGGCTCATACACTTTATAATATTTTTTTTCATATTGGAAAAAGTTATTTATTTTGTGTAAGTTATGAATAGGTTTTGGTTGGAGTGTTCCATAATATTTAGCTATTGTATTTTATTCATTTTTTTTTTTTTTTTGTTTTTTTGGGGTTTGTTATTTGGTGGGCCAACAGATGTAAAAAAATTTCACTTCACTAACATTTGTATCAAATGATGAATTTAAAAATGCTTAATTTTCAGTTAATATTTAATATAATTCTTTATTTAAGTGAATTTGTATTGTTAAAAAAAAAAAATTGCATAAAAAAATAGTCTGTAATAAAATTTGTGGAAAGAAAAGTTAATGTATAACATTTTTGAACAAGGAATGATATAATTCTTGTTTAAATGAAGTTGTATTTAAAAAAAAATACGATAAAATTTGTATCGAATAATTAATATAACATTGTTTAATTTTCGGTTAATCTAATATCTAAATAAGTCCTTCTTTAAGTCAATTTGTATTAAAACATTAAAAAAAGAGAAAAATTGATAGAACAAAAATAAGAAGGAAAATAAAAAACGTAAAACAGAAAAAGAAAATAGCAAAAGAAAAGTAAAAAAAAAAATGACGCATTAATAAGTATATAGTCTTTATAAAGGTTTCATTAGTCTATTTTTGTACATCTGTTTTTTCTCTTTGAGGACTCCGCCGTTGAGTCCGTCGTTTGTGTCTATCCCAGGAGGAGAAGAGCAGAAAGAATTTATCTCTAATTTTGCAACCAAAGGTACTTCATATCCTAAGGCTTCTATTTGCTTTTTCGATGGGGCTGGTGTGGGGGCTGGTTGGGGATCTCTCGGTTAGAGATGGGTTGATTCGGGATTATTGGGGGTTGAGTTCACCTGCTGTATAGGCGTTCGTGCAATTTCGGTAGCGGTTCTCGGGCTCGAGGTCTTCTTTGTGTCGGTCGTTCATTGCTGGTGCAGCTTAGTTCGGTTCGCATGGAAGGGCTCCGTTTTCGTTTATTGTTGTTTTTGTTTATGTTTTTTCTTTGTTGTGTGATCGTTGTGTTTGTGTTGTAATCTATATATTTTTGGTTTGGGCCGTTGGCCCCAGTTTGGCCCGAGTGTAGCCTTTATTCTCCTGTTGGGAGTTTACACTCAGGTATTACATTGTTGGGTTTTTTTTTTTGTATTTCTTCGTTGTGGTTCTAGTTTAGTGTTGGTGTCACAGTGTGCTGATCATTCTAGCTTTGCTAGTTGATATTCCGTCTAGGTTACATTAGTTGTGTGTGTAATCCTCCCATTTCCCGGCTTCGGGCGTGCCTGTGTACATTGCCTTTTGGTCTTTTTTATGAGTATGTTTATGCCGTTTGGAAAAAAAAGAGTTCCATATCCCTAGATATGAAGGTTTGATTTTATGTTC